GACTCATTTGCACAAAGAGAATAATCTCATCTCTGTTTTCTTTATTTGCCTTCTACCTGCAGATGATTCAGATTTCCCCAAACTGTCATGAATATTCCAGCTAGAGCTGATTCAGACACACTATTCTTCACATCTGCTGTGCAAACGGATGCTTTAATCTCATGCATCATTAGTGGGGCTTTTTGGGGAAGCCAGTCTCTGCGTCATTATCAAACCATTGCGAGCTATTATTAGGGAATAGGATGAAGTGGAGTATGCAAAAACTCTGTTGTTAAAAATCTGTGATAAGGCACTGATTACTGTCAGGGGTCGGAAGGCAGCACACAAAACACCAAACACGTGTGCATGATTAATAGGCTAATTCATCGTCAATACACTCGAGAGACAGGAACGTATGTCATTGTGTTCGACAGCAATGGCTCAGAAACCTCTCTAAACTTTGAGTGCATCTCTCCGAGAGGCTAATGAAGTGCTGTTTATGGCATTTCTATGGAATGGAGCATAGTGCTTTCAACAGGTGTGGATGTAAGAGCTGTACAACTGAGACACATTGATGTAATGAAGGGAGAAGGAGTGCATCACATGCATAACTAATGGGTGTTCTAGCGTCACAGTGTTTCATACATGCTATAATAAAGCAAAACTGAGTAGGCATTCCATTTCTAACGGGATCTCAAATTTCCCCTTAGCCAATAAGACAGTTACTAGTCTTATACAAAATGTAATATAGTTGGAGAGAGGGACGTTCAACCACTCATCCTTCACAGTGAGTTTAGACTGCCTCAAATCATGACTGTAGACTTCTGGGCCTGTTTTCCTGCATGATTTAGGCGTTTCTCTGCTCCAACGTGACTTATTCAAATGGCTTAATTGGGACCATAATATCACTGCGTAGCTGTGTTAATGACCCAATCTTCTCACTTAAGTCTTTTTTAACCAGGTAAACATGCAGGAATTTTAAAACCAGTCTCTTTCAGTCGTGAAGAGCTACTTTCCTTCAACTTCTAAGTGCATCCCCTCTCCAACACACCAAAATCAAATGGCTTGATTCCTTTATCAGTAGAGCATTCAGCTTTGCAGAGATCTGGTAATAGCCATTTATGTGTTTTCCATATGGGATACATCTAAACAGCACAGCAGCTAGAGAGGAATGGGCTTAAGATCATCCAGGGTATGAGAACCTTAAATTTTTCCTTTAATTTTTTTTTTTTATAATAATTTTTTTCATCCTCTATTCCTAATGTATACTTTCATACATGATTGTGTATGTATGTGTTGTGTGTACACCATGTCAACCGCATTGTTTTATGCTTTGTCTTGTGCATCTGGGCCCGGTTTGCCTTTTTTTTTTTTTTTTTTTTATGTGTGTGCTTGTTTATCTGTATGTTCTAAACTTTAAAACCTTAAAATAAAATTTATGAAAAAAAAATAATAATAATTTTTTTACTCAGTTAATGATAGAAGAAGGTTGATTTGGTGTCTGGTGAGCTGAAAGATTATATTTTCACTTTATTACTTTATGACCCAGTGTTTAACCTTTTCTACACCTTACATTGGGGATGGCTGATTTTTAACATCCTTTCTTTCAGACAAATCCACCCATGTTGTTGTTTATTGAAAGCTCAATCTTACTCTCATTTCTTCAAAACGCAAAAAAACGCATTTCTAAAAGTCGACTTTTGGATATGTTTTGAAAATCCTGTTTAATTTGCCCTTGTAAAGCCTAGACCAGAGGTATTTAATGTAGTGAGTAGTCGACATACTGTGACCCAAATCCTAAGCAATTCAGACAAAATAGTAATACTAACACAAAAACTACTGCTACTACTAGGTTTACGTTAAAACCTAAAATATATTGAGTTATTCTTGATTAGTTTTGTATCATCTTTTTAGGCAAAAATCTATTTAAGTCCCTCTGGGCTTAACAGGTTCATACCTTTTTTGTCAGCAGTTCTAAATTTAGATTTAGGGGTCCTTGCAGCATTTCTTCATCTATCTAGAGATCTTAGACCGAACAACATTAAAGACCCCTGGCCTAGACAACGAAACTGTTTGTCTTGTGTCACAAAAAGCATAAAGAATAGATAAGAACAATTATTTAGTCACATTTATCTGAAGTAGTTTATCAGAAGTACCAGTAGTTTTTCCACTTTAGTGAGAAAAACTGGTCACTGCTCATGCCTAAAACCAGACTTAAAACCAAAGGGCCTTGGCGTATTCGATCGGCAGGCTCCTTTGAGGTTTTTAAATCTTCTCTAAAAACACACTTCTTCTCCCTTGCTTTTAATCAACTCTAAGTGGACATATGGCAAATTTTATTTTAGATTTTATTTTAGTTTAAAATTTATATTAATTGAAACATTTATCCTATTATATTTTATCTCCATTCATTTTTTCTTTTTGCATTGTGTTTATGTATTTTAGCTTTCAGCTTTTATTTTATGCTCTGAAACTGTGATTCCTGTACAGCACTTTGGTCAACCCCGGTTGTTTTAAATGTGCTTTATAAATAGAGTTGACTTGAGTTGAGTGCTTAGAGATCCCAGTCATTTTCTTATGTGGTACTTTTTTCCAATCTCGATAAAAGTGCTTAGTTTAAAGGTGAGAAGAGTGTGAGAATACGCTGCCGCATTGCATGACACATTTCTTTTAAGGCCTTTTATACCTCTTGTCCCATTAAACGTGCCCAGGTCTCTATTCAGTCCCATCAGTGTGACTGTGTCTGTGGCCCTGGACGTCTCCACCTTGACTGGACTGATGTATCCATAAATATGTCTAAGAGTGGGCTTTTTCATGGTTTCCAGCTGAGCAGGCTAATCTTATTTTATTTTAGTATGTACTCGTCCTTTTCTCTCTGTAAGGCTGTAATTCCTAATGTCCTCTAGTCTTCATTTGTATTATCAGAGTCTCTTTTTTTTCACCTTTCAAATAAGAAATGAATCCAAACTTAGGAGCTGATGTGTTGGTGAAGTGAGTGTCTGAACTGAGTACCTAACAGGTAATTTACTCTGGTCTCCATCTTGGGTTAAGTGTGAGTGTATTGGTATTGATTTATGCTCATGTCACAGTGCAGCACAAGTGGAAAACTTATTTCCTACATATTGAATCACTTGTCACGTTACAGGACTAAAAATCCATACAACCAAAGATCACACAACCTTAATTACATTCCACTTAAAGAACACAGGACCTGCAGGTGTGTGTGTTTGTTTCGGTGCTTTAAAGCAGTATATGAAGCCCTTTCTTTCCACACCCTACCTCTGCATTGTTTATCTTGGCCCACACTTTTTCTACCTCTTCTTATAAATGATTAATTGGTGTTGGAAGCAAGGACATATTTCACCTCTACATCTCATACACGTTCAAGCCCTTTGCTCCAACCACACAATCCAAATGAAGAGGTGTGGGTCCACTGCATGATTGGAAACCTAGTTTTGCTTTTACCCATGTAGTCTCCATGCCTTTAAGGTTTTATTTCTGTTTTTTTTTTTTTTTTTTCTCGGTTAGTCCACCTGCACATGGGCCCACAGGTCGAGGTGTCCTTCGTAACCATTAAATCCTTTTTATTTCTCTATTCTCCATCTGTTTGGTATAAGGATGGAATGAAATAAAATGAAAGACAATTTCGATAGACATGCAACATTTTTTTGCTGCAGTTCATCAAACTGGGGTTATTTTTCAAAGAGTATTTGTTGTGGAAAAATTTATTATTTTAGTTTAGGCCAAAAATTAGTCATTTTTATTTTTCTTCAAGTGTTTTTCTACATTATATCCCCCTAGTTTTCATACTAATCTCCATTTAGACCAGTCAATTTAACTTGAATGTATAAATCATTTGTAGTGTTTTCCCCCTTCAGAATCAATAAAGTATTTTTTAAATTAATTCATGTACGTTTCTGAATTTAAAGAAGATGATAAGCTTCTCCAGAAGGAAAAATCCCAGATTTAGCAAATAGAAATAGTTTTCCTTATGCTAAATGCTTTTGAACCGGATCGTATTTATTCTGATTTGATACCTTGCAACTTGTGGAAAGGGGTTGTGTGTCTCTTTAGACTCCAGCAAACTACTCTAAAGATGTAAATCCTTAACTTTACTAATTGCATGCAACCCTGCTGCTTGGTTACAGGATAAATGCCTTCAGTCACATTTCTAAATATAAATGCAGCAAATACTGATGGTGTCATCGTAGCAACAGCCGAGAAAATAAATAATATTACATTTAAAGACACATTACAGAGTATTCTATTAAAACTGGCTTGTGTTGCCAAAACACAGAACTGCACCACTCTTCCGCTCTATCTCGTAGCTCGCGCTGTTGAGCTGAGTATCCACAAAATACGTCTCGGATGTAATGCTTTGTTTGTTTGATAGGTTGGATTTATTCAATATAGACGCTATCGACTTCAGATCCGCTGAATGGTGCTTAAATTTTCCACCCAAAGTACATTTAGAGAAAATATGCTACAGGCTTATAGATGCGTCAGGGCTGAACTTTTGAAGCGTCAGTTTGCTCATCAAACTTAAAAAATGTCTTTCGAAGATTTTAAAGTTTCAAGCTTTTATTATCAATATTCATAGTAAAAAATAACAACAAAAAAGCTTAGACTGAAGTTTGTTATGGAGAACAAAAAGAAACCAGAACCTATATCCATACCTGTATGTATGCTCTTTAATTTTAACGTCATATTGCAAACAAGTCACAACAATAAGTGCAGTTAAGCACTGTTCTCTTATAAAAGTGCAGAAGTGAAAGGCTTGGACAGCTCCGCATAGGAGTTAAAGTATGGTATAGTACAGTAACGCTGGAACTTATAAACTGAACTTAATTTCAACCAATCCCATTGATACCAGGGGAACCATTACATTTTCTGCATGTAAAGCCAGAATTGTATCAACAGTGGAGAGTAATTTGTCTAAATAAAGCTGTTAAAGAGCAGAAAAGGTGCTGACATGGGCTTCCAGAACAAGAGTTACCTCTGTCTTTTTGTCATCCAACTAGAACTTTCAAGCCCTCCCGAGGCAGCCACTTCAAATCAGCAGGAAACAGTACATCCAAGGTAAGGTGCTTTCATTCCTATTCACACAAAAACATTTCTACAACCAGTTTAGAGAATAAGGCGGTGATAAATGTAGAGGAGTGAGGTAGAGATCTCCTGAGGCGTGGAGAAACTGATGAGCAGGGAGCCAGTAAAGAGGGTTTATGAGGATAATAAAAGTCTACAGCCGCAGTCTACAGGGTCCCCTGCTAAAAAATTCTCAAATTCTCATACTTGTCTGTCTCCCTACGCCGCAGTCTTTGATTTACACATCAGATGTTTTACAACTATTAAGCTTTATATGTTATCATCTAAAATCGTAGGCTTGGGTAATTCAATGACTCTCTCAAAAGTATATAAGAAAGCTCATTATAGTTATGATGCTAAATGATTATGCTTAATGTATAATCTTTTTCTTATTTTATTACCAAAGGAGCTTCTTTTGTTTGATTCCAAAATATTAAAATAATATCTAATACATGTTACTACCTAATAATGACATGGGATGCCAGGAAATGGTACAGACAAACCTTGATTTGTGGTATCTGAAAGAGATCTTAAACATTATTATTAACATGGAATTAATGCAGCAATAAATAGATGTCTTTACTTTTGTCCAGATTTTTCTTTCTTAACCAGGAGGGCTTATCAGCCTTTTAACTTTTGTTAGTATTGCCGATATTATTGAACCTCAGTGGAGCGTTTTATACTATTGATCACTTGATTTTATAAGAACGTCTGGAAAACTGTACGGCCTCTCTGATACAGCACTTGACTATTTGAAATATTACTTGAAGGATAGGGACTTTTAGGTGTTCAAACGGGACATTAAATTGGAAACCATAAAATCACATGCGGGGTTCCTCAGGGCTCCATTGTGGGGCGACAGGGATTCAACATCTACATGCTCCCTTTACATCAAATTATAGCATACAAACAGATCAATTACTATAGTTGTGCAGATGGCAAACTGATTTAAATTACAATGTCACCAGGTGACTATGAACCCATCTGATCTTTGGCTAGATGCTTAGAACAGAACAGTACATGGAAGAGCAATAATCTTCTCAAACTGAATAAAACTGGGGTAATAATCGCCGAACCAAAGCAGAGTTAGCTCATAGCTTCTGCTACTACAGCTAGAAATCACTGATTACAGCCCTGATGGACTCAGACCTGAACCTTCACAGGCACATAAAGGCAGTTACTAAGTCAGCCTTTTATCACCTGAAGAACGTTTCCAGTATTAAAGGACCAATGTCCAAGCAGAATCTAAAAAAAAAGTAATTCATGCATTTATCTTTAGTAGAATTGATTACTGCAATAGTGTAATCAATCAGTGAAAAATGTTTGCCTAAAAAGTCCATCAGACAGCTGCTGCTAATCCAAAACTCTGCTGCTCATGTTCTCACTAGAACTAAGAAAGTAAAGCACATCAGCCCAGTTCTGAATTACTTCCGCTGGCTCCCTGCAACTCAGATAATATATTAGTCCATAAATCACTGAATAGATCAGCACCTCAATACATAACAGATTTGTTGTCAGTTTATCAACCTCTCAGACCATTCAGGTCTATTAGTTCAAGCATGCTCTATAAGCCCAGCACTAGAACCAAACATGGAGAAGCAGCATTTAGTTCCTGTGCTCCATTAATCTGGTACAAACTCGCAGAAGATGGGAAAAGTGCAGAAAGCCTGAGATCTTTAAAGTAAAAGTTAAAAACCCATTTGTTTAGAGCTGCCTTTGACTGTTTAAGTTAAACTTTTAAACTGTTATTAGTTTACGGTTGTTATCCAACTGTTTTATTTGTTTTACTACCTGCTTTTATCATGTTTTTGTCTGTATTTGCTTTGATTTTCCATCTATTTTATTGTTTAACTAGTGTAAAGCACTTCAATTGTCTTCGTACTGAATTGTACTATATAGATAAAATAGCCTTGCTTTATTTACTGAAGCACCTGGAAGGATGCTTCAGTATCCCATGGCTGTACTTGCATTTTTACAGCTTGGTCCTGCAAAAGTACTTTGAACTTAAGGTCACAAATTGCCTGGAAACACTTGAAACTGCATATACTCATCTATATGCAGGTACGATGTGCAAGTTTGAATTCATCAAAGTTGTCATTAATGGCTGGCTCAGGGTTACTGGCCTTAGAATATAAAATCCCTCTTATATTTAGATGATTGTACAGGCTGCAGAAAAACCAAACTCTTTTGCAGCCATCATCAAGGTTGTCTTAAATAAAGAAATAAATCATTGTGAAATAAATGTCCACTCGAACAAAAAATACATAAATGTTTAATGTGGCAAGGAAACTTTGTAAAAAGAGAATTCATGTAATATTCTCAGTTAATTATAATGAAATATGTTTCATAATAATGTAAAAAAAGATTCAATAATGTTAATGATTTTTTTTTTGTTCCACCACTGAACTGATTAGCTGTATAATCTTCTGCTACGGTATTTATTATTACTCTGCATACTTTTCTGACTGTTTCTACTGATTTATTTGATAAAATTATTGAGAGTTACAGTTACTAATCATAATATATTTTTTGTAGATTTACAAATGTATAAATTCTGAATGTCCTGAGCAGCAACAAGTGATTGATAAAGACATTTTTAATGTGAAAGTTATGTCTAAACTGGGGTTGGTAACTTGCCTCAGAAAACATTACAGCTAAGATTTAATTGATCTTGTCTAAAGACAACATTTCAGATGCTTTGCACCTGATTAAGATATTGCAATTTTTTTTGTACAGCCATGAGTTTTCTTTGAAAATAATAGAACCCGGTATTCTTTAAAAGTGAAATGTTGCTTCACTTTCCTGGAGACAAATGAGTTCTCCTTTCTTAAGCTTGGTTTATGCTTAACATAAACACAAATTCTGCAGCTTTAATACTCCATGTGTTTTAACCTGTACCTAATGTTCTGCCCGTCTCCTGGTGGCAGGGGTGTACAGCACAACACCACAATAAATAAGGAAATAGGAAATACAACCGTTATCTACTTTTTCAAAGCCTCTCCTTGTCATCAAAGAGTTACATAGTTTATATAGATCAAGCTTTATAAAATCCCACTTGTCACCTTAGCTCTAGAAGCCACTTTGTGATTCAGTATAGGGCTGCAACTAACGATTATTTTGCAAATCGATTAATCTGTCTATTATTTTTGGGATTAATCGATTAATAATCAGATAGCCAAAGGTTACTTAAAGAAGGCTTTTTCACGAAATGAACCCAGGTGACATTAAAACTTTTCCGCTTGAGAAGCTTTGGATAGAGCATATCAACATTCTTTATTTATTTTATATGCAAAATATATGTTTTTTACAATTCTGACAAAATTGCTGCTCTAAATGGGTTGCTTTTTTCAGCTAAAGGTATGATTTATAATCTCTATACTCCAGTTAACGATTATTCGATTACTAAATTAGTTAACAATTATTTCAGTAATCGATTATTTACGATTGTTTCAGCCCTAGTTCAGTATTTTCTTTGAAACTCATCAGCATGATGAGTTTCACAAAAGACACCATGACAAAGTAAACTTTTATTGTGGCAGGGACTCGAATGTTTATATGATAGATGACTCGGTCCATCTATTGCTTTAGCTGACTTTAAATAATAAAACACCCACTGTGGTTTTTAACCTAGTTGTCATACATTATGCAGCACATGTAGGCATTGTTTTCCTACTAATTGCAGTCTTACTGGGAATGTTTCACATCTTCCCAAGCAGCCATGTTCAATTTTTTTCCTTTGTACACATCAACATTGACTGGAATGCTTTTAATTCCTTCTACTTTAACAAACTTTCAAATCATACTGTTGTCAGAGAAAACACCTACCTTTGTGGTATACACAAACAGAAACGCAAAAAAATCTATCCATTTTAACCAAACAGACATTGTCTATCTCTGGCAATACGGTAGGGGAAGTTGGTAAATTAATTCTCCAAGAGTTGCTACTCCTTACCTTAATATAACAGAATCATTTATATAATTTATGCCTTTTGTCTTAATCTGATCACGCTGTCTAAGAAGAGTAATTAATAATTCATGACTTCCTTCCTGAGGTATAAATATTGCATGATACGGTCGTTCACCTCTTTCAGCCACTCGTTCAAATTAGAAATACAAGAGAACATGGCCTTTTGGCTAGGCAGAGTTGTGTTGATATTAGAGGTGTAAGAAAAAATTGTTTCTGTCAAATATCTCAATATTTTACTTGACGATATGGCTACTGATGCAAATAACAGCTTAAATGTAAAGAATACAAATATGGATTACATTGTTTTACTTTTATATACCTCTTAAACCCCTAACCGGTAGTTGGCAGCACCCCAACCAAGAGGCTATTATTCAGGTGCTTTATTCTAACTGCAGCAGAACTACAACAAGATCTCAAGGTTTTACAAATCCATGCTATGATAAAAATGGCAACATACAATTTATGTTCTTTTTTTTATTTTTTAGATGTATAACTTGTAATGTTATACGTATCATATCGCCAAATTCTTTCCAATTCATATCCCTAGTCAATATAGAGTGAAGTTTAAAACAACTCAGCAAAGGTTTCAAGAGTGAGATTATGCTAAGTTGAAGAAACATTACATACAGTGTTTCTCTGAGCTTAAGGAGCAGGTAAAGGATAAACTAATTACAGAAACTCTCACTGTCAACATGTATATAATGTAGTTAAAAGGTTGAATAAATTATTATGATGAAATAAAGGTCAAATATTCAGAAGATGACAATCCCCCCTCCTCAATAAAGAAATGTTAACAGAGACTGAAAGAGAGAAGCCTGTATTGCACCAAAATATACTAACAGGATTCAGATTATTTGTCGGAGTATCGCAGGGTTTAACTCTTTATTGTAGAATTTGCAATACTGTCCATTTTTCACATTTCTCAGAAATTATAGGGCCTCAGCAACTAACACTTTTATTGGTACCCTATAGACTAAAAATAACCAGTTTTACAATATTGGAAAAGCTTTATTTTCTCCTTAAACACCTACTTGTAGGTACATAAAGTAAACTAAATTGCTGCTGATGCTGTTTCCTGCATTATGCCCCCCCTTAACAAGGTGGTTGGTGCTGGAGAGCAGATGCTGCTTGTGTGCTGTATAAGTAAGCCTAGATTTTAGGGAAAACAGTGGAGTCCAAATCTTTCTGGGCAGGTTACTGTTTACCTGGACATAAAGCATCTCAGACAGGACTGTAAGTAAGTGTGGAGTGTACTTCAAAGACTTGTAATATTTGAGCAAAATATTCTTTTGATGATGTACACTATGATGGCCTAATCAGTAAGTATTAAAACTAAATCTGCTTGACAGATGAGCTGCTTGATATTAAGAATAATTTTATAATGTTTATCTAAAACCTGATGTTAATTTAAGACTGTCCCGCCACCAAACAATTAGAGAAAAATAAAAAGAGAAGAACAAAAATTGGCCAGAGAACGAAACAACAGAATATGTCCTCCATCTGCTGCCATGACCTGCAGATGGAGGACACTGACTATGCTGCTCTGGCCGTGTTGTCGCTCTAAGACTTACATCATCACCTCTGCTCCCTGCTGACTCTCACTCACAGGGCTCAGTGTCATCAAATCCTCCTCCATCGCTGCTATCAGCCCTTCTTTCTTTAACAGCCGTCTCACTGGGTCTTAGTGGCAGAGCTTTAGACGGTAATTCCAACAGTTTGTAAAGCCACAGTTACGTACACGTCTACAGATGTGAGCATGTGTGAATGTGGTAATGATTTTGGTGTCAGCTTGTCTGTAGTGGTGAATGCTGTGCTTTAGTGGGTTTGTCATCATGCTGATGCTGTGGGGATGGTCTCTAATCACTTCTGCTGTACTAGAGTCAGCATTTGATCACTGCACAATTTTGTCCCCTAAATGGGACGTAGCAACTTTACAAACATTTCCATTATTCAATCAAATAAATCAATATTTTGTCTTTCCCTTTAATCCCGTCCTTCCTGTTATGTTTTGAAGACTGGGGCACACATTCCCCTAACCAAGTGCTTCTCAAAGTGGGGGCTTACCCCTTAGGGGGGCTCAGAGTAATTCTTTTTTTGTTGTTGTTGTTTTTAATAATGTACAGTAAAATAAACAGCAAAGCTCCAAATAATTGAACTTTAAAATAGGTAATCTTGTGATTTAAAGAGGATTGTAGTTTATTTTATTGCATTATAGTTTTCTGCAGTTTTTGTGTCCTTGTTTAGCTGTCAAAAAGATTGGTCAGAGGGGGTGCGAAAACTTTCTTTGAATCGTAAGTGGGGACGACTAAGAAAGGTTTGGTAACCACAGCCTTTATCATTGAACAGGGCTTTCAGTTTGCAATATACACTTTGCTCTGTCATGATGTAAATTGTAGGTATGTGATGGTTAAATTACTTCTGAATCTCTTTGGCCATTAAACTCTCAATAGCAGGTGTTTTTTTTTTTTTTGCTAGCTGTGCAATAAATTATGATAGGTTGTTGTAAGACTTTATTACATTTAGATAGCGCTCACTCTGCCATGAGTTATGATGATATTATTTTCACAGGAAAGCAAGAGGAGGTTGTGGCTGTCCATCCTCGGGACTTGTTTATTCCTCAGGACGGCTGGACGTTTCTTTCTGCAGGTAGGATTTTATGTTGCTGTGAATAGACATGTACACAAACAAGGGGCGTTTCAATTTAGCTATCTGCTGTTTGTGGATAGAGTTCCTCCACCTCTTTAAAAAGCACTAAAGGTAGGTCTAATCATCCTCTTGTCATTCGTAAATACCTGTATAAATGCAGCTTTTCTGTTAATGATAAAACACGAAGGGGAAAAAAGGACTGAGGTAGAATTGCACATACCTGCAGAGATGTTGCAGGAATCTGTATAGCAGATCAAACCTCACACCGATGAAAAAAATGGGTTAAAATATGAATGACAGAGTTACCTTTATTTTTATTCTAAAAGTTAAAGTTAAAAACAAACCACTGGTCTTTGCTTTCCAAGTTTGAAGATGTTTTGCTTCCCATCCAGGAAGCTTTCTCAAACTTTACTTTTAGTTGTAACACCAAAATGTTTTTCTGTTTTTTTATTGGCACATATTTTCAAGATATTATGTTTTTAAACTATTAAAATTCAGTTTAAACAGTTTTTTCTCCAGTATAGATTATCTGCTCCACTAATTCCTCACATTCCCCATGTTTCTACCTACAGAACAACAGTGAAAGCTTTGTGTAAATGAACAATTATATTTCTGTATGGGTGCATTTACGGTATACATGAAAGTGAGTGTCACTTTAAATCCAATGTTGATGAAATGCGGGATTTGTTTATCTGTAGTTCTGCTGGGTTGTGAGATCTTATTTCTATTTAGGAGTGACGGACGAAGAGGGTTCCTATTCACTGTTATACCTTCTGAAGACACTAAGTTAGACATTCAAGAACTCATTAAAAAAATATAGTAATTAAGCACTTTGAAAATACCTAAAATATGTTGAAAACATTAAATGCTCCCAGTTGGTTCTGGTAAGTAAAGAATTTTTCTTTCATGCAGTTTTCACTGGAGCATCATAAAAGTATTCACATTTACGCTAAAAAGAATGGGGGGTAGTCATTGTTCAGCAAAGCAGTTAGACCAGGAGGCCTGAGTTCATACTGTATGGGATTATTTAGAAAATGTCATCATTTATAGGTTCCTATTCCTAGAAGAAGGCAGAGAGTTGGGGCGTTGTAAGCTGAAAATCTTTTAAATCTGTTGAAAAAAGCAGAAAATGTTCAAAATGTGTCAAGAAAAGGTTTCGAGTATGAATGGGATAGTTAAATACATTTATAAAGAAGATTGTGACACAAATGATAGCAATATTTGGGAGAGGTGTCAAAGTTGGGTTTTTTGGAGGGGTGGCTTACGTTCCCACAATTGGAGAAGTCCTTGACTAGAGCAGTAACTGTAATATATTGGATACTCAAGCCACTCAGAAAGGGTGGGTGTAAAAGGTGTTTCCTGTAGAAGAAGTTTACAGGGGATTTATTGAAGTAAGAACTGTTAGTAAAGGCTAAGGGATCACATTCTCTTCAAAAATAAAACTTCAAGTCCCTGCCCATTGTATTGAGGGAAAAAAAGGATAAATCGGTTGTTTATTTTAAGCATGTATATCCATTCAGCTGGGCAATAAAACAGGTTGTACTTGGGGCTCCGTGTAACACCACTTAGCTCTCTAGATATCCAGTGGGCTCAGTGAAACACGTCATGACCTTAGCAATGTTCCTGTCCTCTTGTGCGTCAGTCCAATTCCACGGCCATTTACAAAAGTAATGACTCATAACAGGGATTGAAACACACAAATCCTAATGGCTCTGCCTGTTTCCCTTAGCTTTTTTTATTCTGTAAAAGAGTCACTGTTTGCTACAATCTTCTCTATAATTTGGATTCAAGTCAAGGATATCTTTATGCACTATTTTTAGCCAAGTAATTAAAAAAAGGCTGGCCATGATAGCTAGTCGACTGAAATCTGGACAGATGTAAGGTATGTGAAGCTTTCAAAACTTGGATCTAAATAAAAAAAAACATATATTTTCCAGTCTTTACATTCAATAGTCATCTATA